TTCTTTGTTATGGAGCGGGCAGTTGTGATTAGCTGCACCGCATATTTCACGATGCATTATGCGCTTAGGAAGCTTTGGTTTCTTCTTTTGAGGTGCATTGATACACAGAGTTTTAACACTATAAAAGTATTGTAAGTGCATAATAAATGTTGTAGTAATAGTAAATATCGAATCCACAAGGACCAAGTGTCCCACTGCAAATCTTAATAAATGAAACTAAGCTAAGACAAGATTATGCTTGTGGTTTGTGATGCAGGATGAAAATAGCAAATACAATCGGTAAAAAGATCAATTAAAAAATACATTAGGTCAAGAGCCACACAATTATTCAAAGAACAAATAGGCACAATCTTGAACTCAAACATAAATATAACTAATCTATCGTCATGGTATCAGAAACTTTATCTAGCAACCTAAGATTCTGAAATGTCGTTTGAACTTAGAATTGTAAACAAACATTAGTAATCAAGTTCAATTTTGTTCACAGATTGTCTTAACATCAGCTTTTGTTGGTAAAGGACAATCTGCTCACATATGTTCTGATCATGCAATCTATAACACTTTTAATGAATAGATTAAATTCTAAATCAGAAATTAAGTGATCAATTCAGTCTAAGCAATGAACACAACAGTAGATGAAGATAGCAGATTAATGAATTCCTATATATATATATATATATATATGTATTAATGATTAATAATTCTTTTTGAAACTCTAAACCTAACTAATGGATTACTCAGGCATGAAAACTAATGGATTACTCAGGCACGGAAGAAGAATAACAGTAAAGAGATGAAGAAAAAATTCATAATTAATAAAAAAAAAAAGATAATCAACAGAGGTTCAGAATCTTCTCATCGAGTAAAAAGATCATCTTTCCAAAGCTTACAAATTGCAAAAATCTCAAGGTCTGAGTGTAGCCTCAATAATGGTTAAAAACTAGAATATATAGGTCAAAACATATCTGGTCGAAATCTTTGCCGAAACCAAGTCAAAACAGGAAAAACCAAAATTTCTTTTTTTTATCAGCGAAACTGAACCGGCTGGTTAAGGAAGAGATCGATCGATCCGATAATGGGATCAATCGATCTGGTTCGGAATGGTCGATCGGATCGATCTGGCATTTTACGTTAGAAACGAGATCGATCGATCTGGTAAGAATCGGTTGATCTGGAGTGGTTGGATCAATCTGAAATATGACGTTATTCTCTCCTTGTGTGGGATCGATTGGTCTATGTACGGATCGATCGATCGATCTATGAGCTGAAAGTGGTCAAATCTTGCTCTTTTGCTTTTTTCTTTGCTCCTCATGCCTTAGATTTCTTCTAAACGTATTTCAACCTGAAAAAACTCTAAAAACAAAGAAAGGACTAAAAAACCTTTGAAAACTTAGGTAAAATTGCATCAAAAACGCAATACTTCACTCATTTTCCCTTTTATTTCTTTTTTTATTCTTCTTACTCTTCTTCTCCCATCCAAATTGCTCTTGTACCAAAAAAGCTGATCTAATTAGCCAAAACTGAGCACCTCTAAGAAGAACTATTCCTTTTGCATACATACTTCTCCACTTAGCTACGTGAAACTAGTGCCTAACATAGTCGTTAGACTATAGTTTCCTCTTAAGAATTACTCCATATATATGCTTACAAGGAATTACTGTAATCTCCCACTTCTTACAAGTGCAAGTCCTTCTTTCCAAGCAAACACGGTGACTACAACCACTAAGAAGAATGAGAAACATATTATTAGTGCTTTTAGATACTATGCACTCTGAAGCTTGTTTATGCTCTCTTTGAAGAAATTCAGCCACATATAGTGTACAAATCCCTTTGTGAGCCTTAGCTATAACATTTTTTTTTTGCATTATAGACCATTACAAGTCAAGCAATGGTCTCTAGCATAAGCACATCTGGCTTGAATCGTGTCTTGCCGACTGTGTTATTAAAAACTTTTGTGGGATTGTTTTCAACATTTTCACAATAGCTACTAATCTTATCAAAAGCTCTACTTCAACTCTTTGAGTTTGTCTTCTAAACATCCGCAAAGACACTTGTATTATATTTGAACAACCTGTCACAGCTTTCTCAGTACTTTGCTTTATTGTAGCTTCATGCCAGATTCCAAATAAATGGTTTTATCTGTGTCTTTTTCACATGCTTAGCCTTTAAGTTTCCATAGATGTGCCTAACACATTTTCTATGCTTAAAGTTAGGTAACTCTTGTTTGACAGAGTTAAGCAATCCCTGAAACACAAACACAAGTTAAGCCACTAAACATAGACAATATAAGCACAAACATAAAATTTGTCTCTTTTAAATACCTCTTTTAAGTACACAAGACTTGAATTTTTTATTACTCAGATTTATAGGTTTCAAATTCGAGTTAGGATTGTCTTCTCGTTTTGGAGGTTTTCTGGCAAATTAAAATTTGTAATCGGGTATGCGTCATGATTTAAAAGCTGTAATCGGATAAGGATTGTAGTTTGGAAGTTGTACCGGGTTTTAATCAGATTGTTTTCTGGTCTAATTACGGTTTAAATTTTTGTTTACATGGTTAATAATCTGGTTGTAAGCGGATTATTTACTAGTTATTTTATGTATTTAATTTATTATTAGTTGGTATGGTAAATAGTTAAAAAGATAGCACTAATATTTATAAAATATTTTTTATAGTGTTATAATTTTACAATTTTTCCTCAAAAAATATATTTACATTATTTTTTCATAAATCATTTTATATATATATATTTTAAATAAAACGTCTTAAAGCAAATTATAAATATTATACAAGAAACTAAATTTTGGACCCCTGAAAAAGAAAACTAAACTAAAACAAATTTTTTTAAAAAAACTTCATAAAACTGAATTTTAACAAGTATTAGATTTTAAATTTATTAGAGAAATGGTCTAAATGACCCAATAAAAAATGAAACATATTAATAAATCCCTTTTACAACTTTTTAATGAAAATGTTTTTTTATTTGTTAGAAAAAGAAAGTATTCGTTTTACGATAAATTTTTTGAATAAACTATTTAAACAAATAATTTAATTTATTAAAACTTAAAAAAAAAAAAATCCCAACTCAGTCATCCTTTTTAGTCACTACGGTTCTTAATTAAAAAGAAAAACAAAAATGATGTGACAAACCAAAATGGTAGAATCGCCTCTTCTGTAGGAGTTGATAGAGTCGACTCTTAAACCAAATTTTCTCTTTTCTCTTTCCTATGTGATCCGATTTTCTCTACTTCTTTTTCTTCTCCTTTCATCTCGGATGGATTTTCCCAGAGATTTTCCCTTGATTTTTTGCCTCTTTTCCTCAATCTCCCTATATCGGCGTATTAATCCTCTTCTATGTACCTCACAGATCGGCGATCCGAATCTGGTCAAGTTAACATGTCTATAGGTACAATCTACCTGTTTTTAGAATATATTCATGTTTCTGTATATTGCGCTTGGGTTGTGTTTCGATTTCATTAAATCTATTAAATGTCAATCTTCCTAATTGATCGATTTATGTTTGTTACCTTTTGAAATTGAGTCTGCTTAGTACCCAGAGTTTCGTTTGCCTTCTTATTTATTCATTGGATTGAGCAAAATATGCGATCATGGTCATGTCATTTTGCTCATTGATTTGTGGCCGTTCCTCAATTGTATGATTCGATGCATGTTTCCCTCACATCTGTGTTATTGTATTCATCTTCCATTAACTTCATTTGACTTAATTACTACTGGTTTTAATTCATGTTCAGGCTGTTGCTTTGTTCAAAATTCAAATCATACTTTGGTGGAGCTTTAGATGAAGACTGAAACTGCAACGGAGACCGCAAAGGAGATCAAAACGAGAGGCAAATTCACGAGAGCCAACAAGTGCATGAAGTTATTTTAATACAGCTCAAAGTTATTTTTTTACTTAAAAACTCATTCCAGCTCAAAGTTTAGAAATTTTCTTCTCATTTATGATGGACAATGAACAGATTGAATCTCTAAAAGATGCTGGAGTCACTGAGATTGTATTAGCTATCAATCACCAACAACCTGAGGTATATTAAAATTTGTTGTTAATAACTTATTTACAAAACCGTTGAAAAGGTTTCTTGTGTTGATCATACTCCCTGTGTTTCTCAGATGATGCTGAATTTTGTTGCAGAATCTCTCGTGCTGGCTCGGGATAAGCTTGTCGACAATCAGGCAAACCTTTTTTGTACTAACATTCATGAGTTGTGATCCAGGCGGATGTTAACGGTAATGGATGCTTGGACTATGGAGAGTTTATAGCAGTGATAATTCACTTGCAGAAGATGGAGATTGATTAACATTTCAGACAAGCTTTTATGTTCTTTGACAAAGATGGAAGTGGCTACATCGAATCAGATGAACTATGGAAAGTTCTCCATTTTATATCTCAAAATTCAAAAAAAGTTAGTGAAACTCTTAACTACTTAAGTTTATTATATATTTAATAATAAAATATATTTAAGAACTTTATTATTAGTTCTCCATTGTGGATGCTCTAAAGCCTCTAAATAACCCCCTAAAAAACCCCAATATATCTCCTAATCCCAGCAGAGGAACACAAGACCTGAGACTCAGTTAAACACGACATGGATCAATGGCAGCTGCAACATGTATAGATGATGTATACGTTCTTAGCATCATTTGAGGCAGTTATTGATAGCTTCGAATTTTATTTTCTTTAGTAATCATTAAAATTATATATTTGCTTATAAACTCTATTTTTAAAGTAAAATCATTTCCAATAATATTTTTTATATTATTTTAAAAATAGAGAAATAAAAATTCAATAAGTCTACTCCAATAATATAAAGGAACTGAATCATTTTAAACTAAGTATTGTAAAAGAGAGGGGAAAAACAAATCGAGCTAAAATCAGTTAACAAATAAATTACACAGCTTTGAGATCTATACAGCATATTTGGACATTGACTTACAAGAAAAATATTTTGAAAAAGACACAAAAACATACATTCGACATGAGAGACTAAACTTCAACATTGTTCGCTCTTTGGTTAAGTTCCGTCATCTCCTTCTCGTTTTTCTTGTGCAGTGAGTAGAAGTAAGATCCTAAAGCCAAAACTGATCCTATCAAAGCACCTATTCTAGGCCAACTCATGTAATCATCCAACAAATCATACGCCAAAACAACAACCAGAGCCACAAGTGGTGAAGCACACATATGTACAACATCACCAAACACACCTGAAACATAAAACACCAAACCTATTAACCCAACCCCCCAGACCTGCCATGACAAAGCCAACCCGACCAGACTCAAAACGTAGTATGTTTCCCCTTTCTTAAACCTCTTGCTATCACCTTGCAACTCCTTAAACTCGCCACTAGCAAACAAACCAATGAGACAAACAACCGAGGCAACAAAAGAGACACAAATTTGCATCTCTAATACCATTCTAAACACTTTCTTGTTACCATATCTCTTTGTCTTCACGAAAATTTTCTCAAAACCAAGTTGAAATAAACAGAGAGATAATGCCAAAGCAACCGAAGCAGCGAAGGTTAACCAAGCTTGAATGCTATAGAATTCTTCGTTTTCATTAGGCTCTCCTCTAAATTCTGGACTACCAAAAACGTATACGACAAGAGTGAGGATTATAGATATGATGATCCATCGATTAAACTTGAAACGGTTTATGATGGCTGTGAAGATAGCCGTAAATATCAATTGAGTCGCGGAAATCAACGTGAATACGCCATAGTTTGCGTATAACTTCCCTAGTGAAAATAATTTGCTATGAGCAGCAACAAGAACACCAAGAGATAAGTAAAGAAAGAGAAGACGAAAGGAGAAAAGACTAGTATTGTTGGTTTCAGGGTTTGGTTTAGGTGAAGGGAAAAGGAAAAGGAAAAAGAGAGGGATGAGGATTGGAAAACGCAGCGTTTTGGATCAGAGCTTGAGTCCAAGTTCCTTTATATTGGAGATCTTGGTCACTATCTTCTCGATTGTCTTGACCATAGAAGAAGTTCAAGAGAAGCATGACGAGAATATCTCCGAGCAAAACTAAGAAAAGACATAACGAAACAGAGATCCACCATTTTCTTTGAGTTAGCAACAACGACCTTCTTTGGCTCAAGATCTGGTCTGGTTCTGGATTCTGAACTTGTTCTGATTCTTCTGCTTGGTTAAAGGAAAAATTAGAATTCTCATTGTTTATTAGATATCTCATTGTTTATTAGATAAAATCATAAAAGATCTGTTGAGACAGTGAAATTACCATTTCTTGTCATCGGTTTGGAAGCTTCAGAAATCTCCTTGAGTTTTCTTGGTCTCAATCTCAATTTCTGAACTTTTTAAAATATGCAAACTTCATTCTCTCTGGGTATCTTATATAATAATAAATTTCCAATTTTTTCTTTGAATTTATGAAAATGGTTGAGGAGAAGTGCGCGTTAAACAATGGTTAGTTCCATCTTGGCGGCGATATAATTCTTTTTAGTAATTAAAAAAATATCTCTGAGACAGATAAGATCTTTGAATATGACACATCAGTTTTGAACATTAACGAAGTTTCTACTACGCTCTAAAACCGGAAAGCTATTTAACGTATGAACGGTTCACCACGTTACATCTGATGTCAATATTTTGATGATAGTTGTCGTTTCTCAATATCAAATATAAAAACAAACTAGGATCTGCGCATAATTTTTTTTTTTTTTAAAATTAATTTTCAAAATGTTAGTTTTATAAATATAATTTTAAAATATAATTTTATTGTTTAACAATATTATAATCAAAATAGTTAATCTATAAATAATGCTAAGATGTTATAAAATATGATTAATTATCTTCTTGTTAATCGTATTCATGTTTTCTTTGTCAAAAACATTATACAATAAAAGTGTGTTTGATTTAATAAGAAGATGATATATTAATATTTTTTTTCTTCTTTATCTTATTCGTTATTATTCTTTTGTTGTTGTTCTTCTTTTTTTTTCTAAATTTTTATTATTATTCTTCTTCTTTTTCTCTTCTTCATCTTCTTCTTATTTTTTTCTATTTTTTTTAAGTTCTTCTTGTACATTATTTTTTTTCATTTTTTCTCCTTTTTTAGTTTTAATGATTTTTTTTCCTCTCCTTTTTTTCTCTATTATTTTTTCTTCCTCATTTTTCTTTTTTGTTTTTTTTTCTATAATTTTTCTTATGCTTCTTCGTTTTGTTTGTTTTTTTATTTCGATTATTCTATGTTTTTTACTCTCTTTTCTTCTCCTTTTTTTTTCTTCTTCTCTAATCTTATTCTTTATTTTTATTTTCTTTAAATTTAGCAAAACAAAATTGAAATAGAAATTTCTTATATTAAATAATTAATATTATATAAATAATTTTTGGTATTTTATGATTTTTCGGTAAAATAAAATTTAGACTTTAAAAATATTATTTTTTAATTTTTTTTTTGAATTTTCTATATATATTTTTATAAATTTCGAATTAAAAACAATAAAAATAAGATAGTTTACTTTTTTTTTAAAAAAAAATAAGCTTTTTAATAAGAAGGAAAACAAAATATTGGGCTTTTAATGAGAAAAGTAACAAAAAATTAGGCCTTTGATAATTTAATGAGAAAGATAAATTTAATAAATTTTTATATAAGTAATGAAAGTCCAATGGCATCTAACATATATTAAACAAGAAGTATTAGTGGTTTATGTGTCATTATCTCAAAATTTTGAATTTTTTTAAATCAAAAAACTTAAATAATTTATTTTTTTAATCCAACACAATCTTTTTTCCAATCAAACAAAGGTTTCTCTAACTATTTATTTTTTTAATTGCATTTAATGTTTTAAAAATCTACAATTAATATTTAATTTTTTTATATAATTTAAACAATTCAATTTAAATAAATATAACAGAAATTTTAGTGAATCTTTGTTTTTAAAAAAATTATCTAACATATATTAAACAGGAAGCATTAGTTTAGGTGTCATTATCTCTTTTATCTAATATTTTTTGTTGATTTATTTTTATGTGTTATCCTTATTAACAAATACTTTATTTTAAATTACTTAATTAAATCGAATTTAAATCTAACCAATCACAAATAATTCGATAATCTTATTGGTTTAATAAATTAAATTAGTTACCTGTTTTATTAATAGAAATAAAAATTATTTCCATGTTTTAGATCTATAAGTATTTATTATTTTGCAACAACTTTGATTCACATATTATACAAACGGAAAAAAATATTATTTTTTGAAATCTCAAACGAAAGTAAATGTAAATTTCGCTTTGTATAAGTTTAAATTAAAAACAAAAATAACAAAATTTTCTTAAATCTCGACTGAACATTTTTAGATACCCCGATATTTTTTAAAACAAATTATAGCATATCTCTTAAATATTTTTACAAATATTACCCTGCACGAACGTGCAGATAATAACCTAGTATTAGGTAAATAACACATCAAGTAACGATGAATTCTCTTTTAATATAATAGATATTTTATTTCTATCAAGAAACTCAATGGCGTGCCTGCAAACTTAGAGACTTGAAGCAAAAACATTAAAATGTGGCCTTAGAATAAACTGAAAAAACAATTCAGTAAAATATGTAACATACATGATTTTGATAAATAAAAAAATTAACTTTTTTAGTAAAATTATATAAATTAACAAACAACATATCTCATATCTGCTTCTATATCTTTATAAAAAAAATTACTTGGACATTATATATCGGGATTTTATTCACTATAAGAAAAAGTAAACATAGCTACTAATTTTGTTACAAAATAAAATTATAGCTTTATTTTGTTACAGTTAGCAACAATTTTGTTAAAGAAATGTAATGATTTGTAGCATTTTTGTTACTTTTTGTAACTAATTTGTTATGGTTTGCGATTAAGTTTATGTTGTCGCAAAACTGCTTTAAAATCCTTCAAAAAATACATAACAAAGTTAGCAACAAAAAATTTTGTAACTAATTCGTAAGTTTCTATATAAACTTTGCTACGATTTGTGACAGAATTAAATTTATGACTAATTTGTTTCAAATATCAACAAACAAAAATGTAATAAATTTAGAAAAAATTAATTTTGTAATAATTTTGTAACAAAATTGCTACAAATCAGCAACAAATGAAATTGTGACAATTTGTTTTAAATTAGCAACAATCAAAATTGTAATTAATAAGTGGTCAAAAAATTTTGACCATAAATCATGATTAAAATTTTCTGACCAAACTAGTAGGTCGAAAAGTGGTCAAAATATTTAACCTGATTTTGACAAAAGTTTTATAAAATTTTGGCGAATATTTTGGTCAAAAATGGTCAAAAGATTTTGAATATAACATTTTTTCAAATCTTAAAAAACCATAAAATAACATATAATTATATATAACTAAAACCAAAAAGCAGCACTTTTAAAAGATCACAGATAATTAAATCTAATCATTTTTATAAATCTCAAACCTCAATTAACAAATCCTAAAAATTAAATCCTAAACCCCATCTTAAACTTAACACACAAACACAAATTAAGTCAAAAATATTAAAATTAAAATATAACTATTTTGTAAATAAAGTTGATTATAAGTGAAAATTGTCATCAAATAACTTTACAAATATATTGTTGACATTGTTTAAGATATATAATTTATTTAGATTAGGTTACTAAACATTACTCTAAAATACTAAATTGAAAAATTAATCTACTAAAAACAAATAATAAAAGTGACAGCGTTCTCTTTCTTCTTATTGGTTAATATATAGAGACAAGGATTAAGCTGTGTACTACTATCAACCATTGATTATAAAGTTAAATCTAATAGACAAAAACTTCTCATTCTTTTTCTTCTTGTCTTAACACTTCGTGCTTCTTCTTCTCGGTGTTCTCACCTCCACTGCTCGCTCAAACAGATCTATGTAAGTCTTCTCTTCTCCTTCTCCCTCCATATGTTCTTCAGATCAACTCCTTTCTGTTTCAGATTTCATTGCCACCAACTCTCCGCCGTCAAGATTCCCCAATCGAGAAGTACATACACCATTTGACTGGTTCGTTGGAGAGATTTTCGAGATCTGATTTTTGCCGAAGTAGTGGGTTCATCCATTCTTCATCGAAAAAAATAGAGGGTTCATCTGTTTTTAAAGTCACTCACCGTCAGTAACCGCCCGTGTCTTCTATCACATCTCCACCGGCTAATTTTTATTTATTTATACATTATTTTTCTTTTTCACAAAATATGTAGTATATAATAAAATATTATAATAAATAAATAATTTATTTTGTTAATTTTTTTGTAAAAGCCACAAATTTTCCACAAAGTATTTATAATTATTAGTGACGATTAATTTGTAGATTTTATATAAGATTGTCACACTTTATTTATAACAAAATTTGTTACAAATTATATTGTATCTAATTTGATTCAAATTAATGCAAAATTGATCTGTGAGTAATTGTAGCAATTTTGCTACACATTGTTACAAGAAGCAAATAGCTATCCCGCTAAACTAGCGAAATATTTTTGTAGTAAATTGTTACAAATTTTTATTTTGCTACAAATTTATGTTTATACCTACAAAATAAAATGTAACTTGTAGTGATTTGAATAAACATGTAGAGAAACTAAAATAGTTTGAAAGAAAATAAACATAAATTCTCATAAAGTTCCACGAACTTGCTTGTAAATTAATCTCATAAAAGCCATACATCGTATTTGTTGTCAACAACAAAATCCAATCATTTGTACGTAAACTATAATATATAAATATTAATTGACTTAATTATATGAAATACACAACTTCACTTACCGTGTCAACCTCAAACTGATTTTTTTAAAAGCATTTAAGGTGAAGTTGAAATATCATAGTTTTATATATATATATATATATATATATATATATATAAAAGGCTTGAAATGGCATAGTTTATGCATGCGTTTTACTGTTTTGATCACTATGCTTTCTTGTAGAATTTATAAGCGAATTTGTATAGTTTTATCAATATTTCTTTTCAAAGAATATAGTGATTCTTTGGTTTTTTTTGAGAATTTAGAAAAATTAATTCCAAAAAAATAAGACAAGAACAAACAGAAAACTTGGCTGTAGTAACTGATTGCTAATTAAACTTGTTTGCTAAATTCGGACTACAAGAAAGACTTTGAAACAAAGTTACCTTTAACGTCTCGTTCCTACGTTTAAAGAACAGGTTATAATTAGGTGTCAACGGTCAAGTCTGTAGTTCGAATTTTCTTCGGCCTCTTATTCCTTGTGAAGGGTCGGGTCAAAACCATGTTGAACACACTTTTTTTTCTTTTTTTAAATGGTAAATATTAAGTGTGATAACTCAAATTCGATCTATAGAAAGAAGAAGAGTTTGTGA